GGAAGCTGCCAGCTTCTTCTTCTGAGTCTGTACCCAGAAACTGGCACAGCATCCCTTGCACCAAATTCCACTGGTCAAGCAAACCCAGAGCCCACCCAGATTCAAGGAGAGGGGACATCAACCCCGTATTTTGATGGGAGGAGCATCAAAGAAACTGTTGCTCCTGTCTCCCCTGCTTCCTGTAGGTCATCCTTAATCCACCCAGCTGACTCACTGTCTGCAGCTGTTCAGAGTTCAGTCCCCGTCTTTCTTGCCTAACTCTCCAAGTCTCCAAACATTTTCCATTGCTGTAGCTCTTTCTGGCCTCAAAGACTGTCATAACATCGTGCAAATGCTAGAGATGCAGCTCTCATGCTGGGCACTGTACCTTTGCTGGGCAGACACATGTGAGCAAGAACACGCACAGTCCGTGGCTGCTTGTTGCTGAGGGTCCAAACACAGGGGTCAGAGGATCAATCAGTAGAAAGAAGAATACTAGGGAATTACAAATGAGAGGAGTGCTGTGAAGGAAAGGGACAAGCAGTGTGCCACACAGGACGATGATGGGGCTCTAACTGGCACTCTGGGACTTTGCCACATCATCTTGCCATGCCCACGCAGCGAGTCACATTAGCAATTGCCATAGTACCTTTTAATACGAGAAGGGACGCTTCCGCCAGCTCTTCACTGAGGGTTGTTTACACTGTTCAGAAATTTCCAGATGACCTAATTCAGATGTACTTGAAATGTGTATTTGAGGTCTAGAAAGTGGAGAGTCTGCAGAAGGACGCTGCAGCAGACACAGGAAGAGACCGGTTCCTTGAAGCACCTACCTGCCCACAGAGCCTGGCCTGAGCTGGTGGAGCAGGCACAGTGTTTACCCAGGTGGTCAGGGGCGGGGCCATCCTCAGGCCAGGGAATCCAGGCAGCAGCCACAGGTTTTCAGGGAAGCCTGGAGGGTGACTCCCAGAAGGAGATGCCAGTCCCTTGGCAGGGGAGGCTTGGGAGAGCTCCTCAGATCTGAGCCTGGGGTCTGGTGAAAGCCCCAGTCCAGGCAGACCCAGGACTGGGGCCTAAGCCTGGCCACCTAGACCCAGAGAGGAAGAGCCAGGGTGGAAACCAGCCCTGCAGACCACTGGCCATGAGCCAACCTGAGAGGCCAGCATGCCCCTTGAGATCATCCAACTGGCTGCAGTGGAGATCTGGGGTCACGTGGGGACAGTAGTGAGTAACACCTGGATCCCACACAGGGAATCTGACCTAAAGCTACACCTTGTACGGGGCCCAGAAAAGTTATTCATGGGTCTTGAATCTGAGAGAGAGGAGCCAGGGAAGGGAGAGGCAGGGGAATGGGGCAAGGAGAGGAGGAAAGCCAACAGCAGGAATTCTGCGGTTCAGACGCATGCCTAGGGCCAGGTGTTAGGTCCTTGGACCTGCACATGCACACCTCAAGTGAAATCTGTGGCTTCTTCATGAAGGAATTAAGGCTCCGCAGCCATATGTATCTAGGGAAGAGCCTGGGAGAGGTAGCAGCTAGGAACCTTCTCGATTCTGTGAAGATGACGCCATCGTCCTTTGCCAGCACACCCTCATGTGCATTTTTGAAGAAGGGAGTCAGCAGGGCCTTGGCTGTGGCATGTTACCATTTAGCATTTGCATGGCATGGTCAGTGGGAGGAGTGCTGGCTAAGCCGGTGCCTGTCCATCTTTTCAGCCCCTGGTCCTCAGCACAAAGTCTGGCTTGGCAAATGCCGGTCAACCCTCCAAAGCAAGGGCTGGTTTGTCTGACCATGTCAGGGAAAGCCAATTACTAACTGCATGGGCTCGGATGAGTTACTTAGCATCTCTGAGGCTCAGCTCCTTCCTCTGTAAATCAGGGTTAGCAATATTCTGGGAGAGATCGTGACTGTCTCATATACCATGGGGCCCCTGGCATGCAGCTGGTGCCCAAGCATATCTGCTGAATGCTTAGGTTATAGTGAGACAGGACCCATGCTCTCAGCCTTCTCAGAGGAGTTCTGTGACTGGCACCTAGCCACGCTATGGATCTCCTACATACCCAGTGTTCTTACCCATCCAGCCTTAGGTGGGCTCTTGGAATTGGCAGCCCCTGGTGAGAAAATTGTTGCAGGACAACTTCTCTAGAAGGAGGTACTGAGATGGAGTTTGGGGTGCCAGGTGTTTATTAGGAATCAATGCCTGTGGAGGGATGTGAGAAGAAGCGTGATTGGGCAGAAAGAGAACTCGAACTGCCCTGAAGGCTCCACAAAGCCCTGGCTTTGGAGAGTCAACCAGCATTTGCCAAGCCAGACTTTGTTCTAAGGACCAGGGGCTAAAAAGATCGACAGGCACAAGGTTGGCCAGCACCCCACTCACTGACCATGTCATGCAGAGGCTAAATGGTGACGTGTGACAGCCAAGGGCCTGCTGATTCCCTCCAGTGCCAGTGCACCATGAGGGTGTGCTGGCAGAGTGCCCTGGAGTGGATTCTGCCCATCAGAATGCCACCATGGGACTGAGATGACGCTATTCTCTGTCTCACAAGCACCAGAGACAGGTGACCCTGGGAAGACCTGGCTTGGGCAGGGCGGCTCTGCAGCAGAGGCAGGCCCTGAAGAACTGGCAACCAGAGGGCCTGTGCCGACCACACTCCCTACAAGTTCTTTCTTGAGGCATCTCCATATGACCATAGAGATTTTTTGCTTAGCTTGTGGTGCCGCAATTGAGCGTATACAAGTAAATATGTGGAGGGGACCTCATAAGGAATCACTTGTTGGAAAGACACATATTTGCATGTCATTTTTAGGCTTTGATAATATAAAAGTCAAAGAAAGGCATTAAATGGGTCATTTGCTGTCTGGGTTGTCTGTTCCAATCATGTAGGAATGATTAGAGAACTAGCTCATTGTTCCAGGAGCATGTTGGATAGGGACCTCAACTGGAAGAGAGGAGCACATGAGATGGGGAGCGAGAGAGACTTTACTGCAGAAGCACTATGGTGTGTTTCGGCTGGGAGGGGAAGTCTAAGGCTGTGGTACTTACTAACCACACACAGTGACTAAACAATCAGTGACTACTCGTTGAATGGAGGGAAAGATTTTTTTTTGAATATCTAAAACATGTAAGGTGTGGGTGCTGGAGCCCATGATTGCTTCTCTTTTTTCAAAGTCACGGGGAGCCCCCGAACAGACCTTACACTGAGACAGCCTGACTAGTATATAGGAGAAGAACCCTCCGGTGAAGTTGGAGTGGCCAACTTCAGTGAGGGACAGAGATCTGTGGGCACTGGAGCCAGGCTGGTGCTGGAGGATGATTTCGGCTGTGCTTTGTTCTGGACCCCACAAGAAGCTCCAGTTCTTGTGAGGCCAATTTAGAACTGGAAAGCCAAGCAAACCCACTCAAAGATTGCAAACACAGAAGAACTATCTGGAAGTGTGAGACAGCTTCGCATCGATGAAGCAGAAAGACTGTGGTGGTGTCCAAAGGTGTCAACTCATGAATGCTTCGTGACAGCCTTGGCTCTGTATTCAAGTCAACACCATCACAGAAACCAGGATGCCACACATAATGGCCATACTGCAATGGCGATGGCCTGGGGGAAGGTCCACAAGACCAAAAGGGAAGGAGCTCACTGTGGGCTGCTTCCTTCCTTGCTCAGGGCTCTCGGCAACAACGACAATGGGCAAATGGAAGAGGTTATAGCCACTCAGCTCTCTCAGGAAGCAACCAGGGCAACTCACAAGGCCAAAGCCCTGGACATCAAAGCTGGGAAACACACTGGTGTCCAGTCCTGGTTTAGTCAGTTCCTTCCTTGACCACCAGTCCCCCAGGCTGCCCGTAGATAGCAGGACAACATCACTGCCCAAAGGAAGTAATGTCCTGGTGCTCAAGGTTGGCAATCTGTATTTTCTAGAAGTTTTCTAACTGCTGAACTCTGACACATGAAGTACATATTTGAGAAATAATTAATTTTAAATGTTTATAAAGATATTAATTCATTATATTGTTCCTACTCCACACAAGGCATTTGTGTGTGATGAGGAGGGTGGGCATTTAAGACATGTACCAGAACAGGTCCATGCAAAGCTACTTGTCCAGGCTCCCACCTGGGGAGGCTCCATAATTATCCTAGTGAGGCTGTCCTGTGTGAGGCTCAGCACCACTGGGACTCCCATGACAGAGCGTCAGAACCGCAGTATCTAAAAATAAAAACCAAACTCAGCTGTGTTCTTTGCACCTAACTGCACAATGTTATTTAGGAGTGGCTCTTGAATCTTTTTTATTCTCTCAAGTTCCTATAAGGGCAAATATCTGGATCTCCTCTTGGAAATGGTCAGTGGATGGCCCTGTCCATAAGTGATCTCGGAGAAGTTATCCTCCCCTTTACTATGGATGCAGTGCCTGTGCTGGGCCCACGTTGATCTGCTGGTCCCAGGTCAATGCTTTCTTCCCACCCACTGTCCCCTCACGGGCAGCATGTCGATGGGATAGCAAGGCCTGTGCTTCACCCCTTTGCCCTCCCTGGCTGCTGCCCATGTATGCTCACTTTATTCCTCATTCTCTTGTGCTTTAGAAGTGGGCGGGGAGAAAAAGGGTGAAATGGCAGGGTCCAGTGCTTTTGTGTCCCCTTTGGGAAGGGATGGCGTTGGCACGGAAACCACAACGATCCAGAAGGCACTGGGGAAATTAAATGCTTCCTCTAGAGCAAGTGGCAAAGTCAGGGGTGGTTTATGGTGCTGTTCCAATAGTCCTCCTTGGAAATTCCATTTGACTAACACATAAAAGCCTGAGGAGTAAATTTGGACAGAGGAGAAATAAAAACTTGTCAGCCATGATGGTTTTAAGGTATTTGGAGATCTTATTTCCATTTCCTTATTCCCATTGCTTACTCTTCACATTTTTTTTAAAGACTAGTCAATTGCAGTAGAGAGAAGCAGGGAAAGTAGAACAAGGAGTTCAATCTGTAACTGACTGAACAATCAGTTGAGATAACTCACTACCTTCAGACCAGCCTTCACACCCTTAATATATCTATTTGATCTTTAATTGCACACACTTAAAATATTGAGACAAGGTAAAGAAAGTGACAAGTAATTAATGTTTCATATACACATTAAAAAGCACTTTTCCAATATGCTAAATATTTTCAAAGGTGATACATTTTGCCAAATTGTGAAAAGAAAGACATGAAAGATTCAAGGGTGAATTCTATTATTTTTTTCAGCCTAATCTCTAAGTTAAAAGCTTTTAAAATGTTGCCACGATAGAGTAAGAAAAGGAGAAGCATGGCAGTAAATAGCCTTTCCAGCAAGGCCTGTGCTTCACCCCTTTGCCCTCCCTGGCTGCTGCCCGTATCTGCTCACTTTATTCCTCCTAATAAAGTGGGCCTCAGGAAGAAGAGGGCCAAGAAAACCAGCCCATTTTCTAAGGAGCAGACGGTGGACCCAAAGCAAGTGCCACTCAACAGAACAAGCTTACAACAGGGCCAAGGCTGGCTTCTGCGAACCCAGCTGTTATAATCTCCCTGCTCAGGCCATGGAGGGACACTGTCACCATACCAAGGAATAAGTGGAATCCTTGTCTAGGTCAAAACCTCCAGCAGGACAACAGACTTTGGATGTCTTGTGGGTGGGGCCAGTTGTCCAGGGGTTCACTGGCCAGACCTGCAGATCGTTTCAAAATAAGAACAAGGACCTTCACTGGCCCAGAACAGAACAAGGAGAACACAAGGAAATTAGGTCTGAGATTGCCTGGAAAGGTTCTAGACCTGGCATGGGTTATCAGGCTCAGGAGCAGGGTAGAAAATTTCCCAAAGATGGACATTTTCACAAAACCTTCTGCTTTTGTAGTCTGTAGCAGCAGCCAGTGCTTCTGTGTCCCTTTCTGGAAGAGGCAGCATGAGGACTGAAGCCACAGAAGTTCACAGCGGATGGAGAAAATCCAAGGGCTCCTCCAGAGGCAGCGACATTGACGCTCCGGCGAGTGGCAAAGCCAGGGTGCTCCACAGTGCTGGTCCTTAGTACTCCTTTGAGAATCGCAGGCATCACAGTCAAGAGCCAATCAACAGCCTCCTTGACTAGTCAGTCGATTTTGAAATACTTGCTTTGGCAAATTCTGACTACAAGTAATCATATTGTTCAGATTCATTCCTTTTTGAGTTTTCTTTTCTCTTTCACTCTCTCTGGTCCCATCAGTGGGGAAACTGCTTCTATATTTCTCATTTCTTCCAAAAGGACCATGCACCTCAGAGAAGACCCCTCAGAGGGAGAGCGCTCCTGAGGTTGTCTCCAGCAACATAGAGGACAGCTTCAAGCTTCCCTCTCTCCTTGTAAATGAAACCCACTGGGCCTGGCTGATGCAACCCAAGTTCTTCAGGGTTTTCATAAGATCCCGACGGAATCTCTCACCCACAAAAACATACAGAACAGGGTTCAGGCAACTGTGGAAGAAGGCGATGGTCTGGGTGACCTGGAAGCAGATGTCAATGTTGGTGGAAACGGCACAGCTGGAGATGAACATGGCATAGGCGTCAATGGTCTGCACCAATAAAATGCAGTTATAGGGAAACTGAGACAAGACAAAGACGGTCAGGACAGTGATGGTCACTTTTAGGGCCTTGTGCTTGGACGACTTCTTGGCTTGTATCAGGGTGTGAATAATGATGGTGTAACAGCAAGCCATGACCATGAAGGGGAGGAAGAACCCCAGAATGACCTTCAGGGTCAGGACAGCTGACTTCAGTTTGGTGCTCTCGTCGCTAGGGTAAACCATGGTGCAGACAGCAATGCCAGATTCCTCCTTGATTTGGCTGTATAAGATTTCTGGGATGCAGAGCGCAGCTGCCAATACCCAGATGGTAAAGCAAACCATTTTGCTGTACAGAAGCCTTTTCTCCCTCCAAGTGTGTGCTCTCATGGCCTGGGCAATAGCGATGTACCTGTCCACACTGATGCACATGATCAGCAACACACAGCTGTAGAAGTTCATCTTGTACATGCTGTTGACCACCTTGCACATGAAGGTCTGGAATTTCCACTGGTCAGCGGCGGCAATGGCCCAGAAGGGAAGAGTGACAAGAAAGAGGAGGTCAGCAATTGCCAAATTCAAAAGGAACATGTCGGTCATGGTCTTCACTCTTGTGCAGTACCAGTAGACCAGGATGACCAGACTGTTGCCCAAGGCGCCCACGATGAACACCAGCCAGTACAAGGGCGGGAGGAAATGGCTTGCAAACTGCCTGACATTGTTTTTCTCACAGTAGAAGTCAGTGAAGTTGAAGTTAACGTAGTCTTCCATGGAAGAGGTGGATTCAGAGCCATAGTCATCAGCCATGTTAGGAACAGGGCTCTGCAAGGGGACACAAGATGGCATTAGGTCAAGGAAAATATTTTGAAGGTCGTGTCTGATGGCAGAGGCATGGACCTCTTGACCCTTCCAACCTCAAACACCTATGGTAAGGCCAAAGACATGTAAGCATTCTGAGGCCTAGGATGTAGGCATTCTGAGGACATCTGCTTGGGTTGTCACGTATTTATTTATTCAACAGATGTTTGTTAAGCACGTACTGTATGTTGGCTACTGTGCTATGCACCAAAGAAACTGTAGTAAATAAGTCAGATGTGTGTCTTCACTCTCAGGGAACTTACCTACCCATAGAGCAACCAGAGAAGTGAACGAACGTTTATAGTGTGCGTGCCGAGTGCTCTGATAGGGTAAGAGTGCCTCCACACTATTGACGGGCAGTTTTATCAAACTGTGGGTTTGACTGTGATCATCCTTCTCCTATCTATTCAGTTTTTCACTGACCCTAAAAAAGGTCAGCAAGGGCTCTTAAACTCATCTGGATCCCAGTCCCCTGAGTTTCCTGAAAGCTCCAGGAGCACCAGCATACACCCACATACACATGCACATACACGTACACACACAGACACTCTCAACCCCACGTACACACACAAGCACCATGACCTGCTCTATAGTTAGCAGGACCCGTGGTCCAAAAATTATTAGGAATTTCAACACATCCAGCATTCAATCAAACAAGCAGCACTTCTGAGCACAGGGCCCCTGTGTGACTGTGTGGGTTGCACAGCCATGAAGCTGGCCCCAACAAGCACACACACTCACATGTACATGCATACACAAAATACATGCACTTGCACATGCTCTCATGTACACAAACCTGCCAACACTCATGCTCACGCGCACATATATACACGCTCATGCATGCACACATATATATGCACATATACGCGCATACACACACACACTTCTTACACTTTTTGGGGGTTCCTGAATCAGAAGCCATCCTAGAACCCCTCCTACGGAAACAGGAAATGAGGGCTGGAAATGAGACCCTGAGATGTAAGCCCTTGAGTCAAACCTGGGGTGAGAGGGAATGAAGGACGTGGACTGCCCATGGAGGAGGAGGGGAGAGTCCCTGCCACGCCTGCTACATTCCTTCCAAAACCTCTGCCCACAGATCCTCAAACACTCTCACTTCCCACCAGTTTCCCTCCCAGCGCTCCCATTAGGATCCCAAATTCCACCAAGGACTACCAGCTCTCACTTCCTTTCCTTGAGGGACATTCCTTGCCAAATCTCATCTCTACTTTTATTTCTCCTGAGGCAAATGTGGTAGTTCAATTCATCTGGATGCATTTGGACTAGAAGTCACCCAAAATCCACAGTAAGTTTTTATTTTGTTTTGAACAGTTAATATTAACAAATATATAAGTACAAAGATTATTTTATGTACTTAAATGTTTATATTTAAATAACAAAATATTCTCTACCTTCTGTTAGCTGGGCTCTCCCTATCTGTATACATTGTAATATCCATCTATTTCTAGTAGATCCGACCAGCATTTCCAAACCATGTTTTGGGTGGAACACTAATGGTTAAAATAGTTGAGAATCTCTGCTGCATATTCCTTCTTTGAAATTCACAATACTCCTGAGCAAGTTGAAGGATCTGAAAAGTCCTACAGAACTTGTTTTATTATTTATTTATTTGTTTGTTTGTTTGCTTGTTTGTTTGTTTTGAGACGGATTTTCAGTCTTGCTGCCCAGGCTGGAGTGCAATGGCGCCATCTCGGCTCACTGCAACCTCCACCTCCCAGGTTCAAGCGATTCTCCTGCCTCAGCCTCCTGAGTAGCTGGGATTACAGGCGCAAGCCACCATGCCTGGCTAATTTTTTTTTTTTTTGAGACAGAGTCTTGCTGTGTCGCCCAGGCTGGAGTGCAATGGCGCCATCTCGGCTCACTGCAACCTCCACCTCCCAGGTTCAAGCGATTCTCCTGCCTCAGCCTCCTGAGTAGCTGGGATTACAGGCGCAAGCCACCATGCCTGGCTAATTTTTTTTTTTTTGAGACAGAGTCTCACTCTGTCACCCAGGCTGGAGTACAGTGGCACAGTCTCGGCTCACAGCAAGCTCTGCCTCCCAGGTTCACGCCACTCTCCTGCTTCAGCCTCCCGAGTAGCTGGGACTACAGGCGCCCACCACCATTCCCGGCTAATTTTTTGTATTTTTAGTAGAGACGAGGTTCACCATGTTGGTCAGGCTGGTCTCGAACTTCTGACCTCATGATCTGCCCACCTCCGCCTCCCAAAGTGCTGGGATTACAGGCGTGAGTCACCGTGACTGGCCCAGAACTTGTTTTATTTTAATTGCACATTAGCACAGTAAAGACTCTGAGAAATCCTTCAGAATCAGTTGAATTTTGTTTAGCAATGTTTTCAAACCTTATTGGAATATAGAACCTGTTGTGTGTGTGTTTGTGGAGGGCTTCTTAGATATCAGGGCTCACTGAGCTGATTGATAAAGGACAGTAGATGTTAGTCCTATTTGGGCCTTGGCTGGCAGGAAATAGCAGGAGGACCCAAGGTAACTTGGATGACAGCTGGGAAAATCTGACATCTAGTCCTGACTCCATCTCCAATATGTGACCCTATTGCAAAAAGCGGGACCCAGAAGCAGGATCCTGGAGGTGGCTCTTCAGGCCAGGGCAGCTGGAAATGGCCCACTACTGCAAAGAACTAAAGAAAACTCATCTCCCTATTTTATATGGGATTAGTCCCTAGGCCTAGTTCATCCATTTCAGTTTACACTTTGGCGCTTATCTGGAAACCCAGCCTCTTGAGAGGACAGACCTCCTAGGTGACACACATTTTAGAGACATGCCAGGAGAATCCTCCAAACGCTGGACACGGGAACCATTTGCAATCATGGCCCCACTAAGACAGTCATCCTGTAGGAGGTGAGGTTTGAGTGGACTTTGAGCGAAAGAAGTACTTGAGAATAGAAGGAAGACTGTGAAGAGCACAGAGACCCCAAAGTGGACATCACAGCAGGTTTAAGAGGTTGGGAGGATGACCTTTCGGAGGAACCTCAGTAAAACCCAGTAAAACCATGCAGATGAGCAAGTACCAACTTGTGAATCCACAGATGAATAGGTGCTAAACTTGAGCTTGAAGTTTTTGTTTGTTGTTTGTGGGTTGGTGTTTTTTGGTTTTTGTTGTTTTGGTTTTTTTTTTTTTTTTTTTTTTTTTTTGGTGCAGTAGTTTTTTATAGACTCCTTCAATGGGGCCTGAGGCGCAAGGCCTGTGAACAAAACGCAAGCAAGCCTCACAGATGAGGGTCCGGGGTCTTGCTGCATGGAGTTTTTGGCTTCTCGGTCAGCAAGCCTGCTTTCTCCTCCTGCTGGCAGCTCCCAGGTAGCGAGGAGCAGCATGGATTTTAAAGACATGTTAAGAGGAGGACAGACAAGGGAGAAAGAGGAAGGCAAGGGAGGAAAGAGGGCATGCTTGGCAAAAGGGCAAGCACAAGAAACAACTTTGGTTCATGGGGAGAAAATGAGATGGGGAGTGGGGAGGAGGGGCAGGTAGGAAGGCCAGCGTCACTTAGCTGTTTTAGTCCTGGGCTAAGGTGCTGGAAGGAGGTGGATTCCTGGGCCAGCGAGGGAAAGTGATCTGGAGCGGGGCCTGGAGGAGACTGTAGAAGGGGCAGAAGGGGAGAAATGTGCAGAAGTCCCAGGACCTGGGTGACCCAGCTTTCTCCACGGCCCGGCGAGTAGGCACAGCCAACACTCCCAAGACTGAATCCCAGACAAGGACATTGTGTCCTGCTGGAAGCCCAGGGGCAGAGTTTTTCTGCTGGGTGAGGATTAAGGACCTCATGCTTTTGTATGAAGTTAGTTAGTTAGGTTAGGGACTCCCCAGGCATATTTTTTAAGTGATTGAATTTTACACCCCAAATCTAGATTTATATAAAATTTGTCAGGACCACAAGAGGAATCCTGGAATAATACCCCCTGTGTCACGACTCTTAGACATCAAATCCTCTGGAAATCCCCCAGTAAATGTAAACAAACAGTGCACAACCAGGGCAAGGGGCCCATCCTGCCTGTCTGTGTCCCAGGCAAGCCTCTGAGCGCGCAGGCTGTTGCTCACACATAGGCATGTCCTCTTCCCTCAAGAGTCCTGGGCTCAGAAGCAGCAGCCCAGGCATCCTGGTTGTGAACACCCAGAGCAGGAAGAAGGTCCCAGAGCTTTCCAGGGCCTCCTTCTCTGACTCATGTGTTCTTTGGAAACCCTTGGCGAGACCCAGGCTCAAGATTCCCCTCTCTGGGGAATGGACAGAGAAAGGGCAGGGACTGTGCTTGCCAAGGCTTCCATTGTGCCTTAGCACCAAGACTGGGCACAAGGGAATGGGAGAGATGGAATAAGAGAGGGCACAAGAAGGAGGAAGGTGGGAAAACAATGAATTTGTTATCAGCAGGGATGCTGGCAGACACCTTGGCCCCACACTTGAGAAAGTATTAAATCCCAACAATCAGACCTGGATTTCAGTGCTTTGACATTCACCCTGAGGGAGCAACCCAGCAAAGCTATGATTGCTGACAGCACCCCTCAAGGGCTCTTCCTCCAAATCTCTATGAGACCTTGAACCCTCAAACCACCTTCCCCAGTCTCGGTCTCCTCATCTGTAAACGGGACTCTGCCTTCACCGTGACGCTGAAGGAATGTGGGGCACCTGCATGGGTGACTGGCCCAGCACATCCTCAGAAAGGTGGCCACAGGGTGCCACGGCTACTTTCCATGGAATGTGGGAGTCAGGGCCACAGGGGTCCTATCTTCTTCCCATTTAGATGGCACCAGACTCCTCTGATTAGAGAAGGTCATTATTGAGGTGCAGTTTCCTTCTTATCTGGGGCTGCTTTGCAGAGTTTGGCTATTATCCAAGATCCCAAATGATAAAACCAAATGACTGGCAATCTCAGAAGCAGCCCTGGCTCTGCTGCCTTCATCTACTTCTGTTTCCACAGCCTCAGGTATTGAAAGGTGAATTTAATGCAGGAGAAACTGAAGAATCTACTTTTGGTCAGAAGAATAGTTACTTCACCAGGACCAAATTAATTACTTTTTTGTTGTTATGGATATAGGTGCAATTAGGTAACTACACATATGTAATACTAATGAATCATTAGCATATCATAAATAATTTAGTTGATGAACTGTTTCAACCACCACTCTCTTTAGATCATGGAAACCTACAATGTACTGTGAGGCAGTTTGTTAGCCCACCTGCTAGGAAGTCTGGATTTCAATTATCTACCTGTAAAACCCAGGCTTTCCCTTTGAGAAAAGCAAAATTAAAGCACTTAGGTAATTTTGTAAGGCATTTATGAATCTAACAAAAGCATGGGAAATTAATTTGATTCTATACTTAATTACATTGGCTGTAAAAGAAAAAAAGATTCTCTGGATTATGATTTGATTCACCGATTTTTTTTTTTTTTTTTTTTAAGACAGAATCTCACTTTGTTGCCCAGGCTGGAGTGCAGTGGCGTGATCTTGGCTCATTGCAACCTCCACCTCCCAGGTTCAAGCGACTATCGTGCCTCAGCCTCCCAAGTAGCTGGGATTACATGCGCATGCCACCACACCCAGCTATTTTTGTATTTTTAGTAGAGATGGGGTTTCGCCATGTTGGGCAGGCTGGTCTTGAAATCTAGGCCTCGGCCAGGTGATCCGACCGCCTCTGCCTCCCAAAGTGCTAGGATTATAGGCATGAGCTACTGTGCCCAGCCTAACTCACTAATTTTTGTTCAACTCTTGACCTTTCAGGGGAATGTATACCGTTATGTGTTTTCATAAGGTCTACATAATGTTATGCAAGAAACACAACTAATGTGCCCACCATGGGTTTTTTAAAAGCAAATTACATGAATTATCCCTTTACCTCATTTGTCTGAGTTTTAGAACAGGCACATGGAACTAAGCACACCCTAGTTAAAGGTCATTAAAAACCCTTAGCTATTTATAACACCACATTTTCCTCTGTCTCCACAACATACCCCAAAGCGTAGCTGCCTCTTTGCATTTGCAAAACCTTCTGTGCTGGACAACAACCTACCCAGTAATGGGCATTGCCGGGCAGAGATCTTACCCTGGGAAACCACACAGATAAATCCTTCCCCCACAGTGGATCCTTCCCACACCCCCTAAAAAGGGAAGACGAGCGTGTATTTTGAGGAGCCGGAGGAGTATGGCTGTACTCACTGTGAAATCTGTGGGTGTCATGGTGCGTCAGTCAGATGCAAGTCTGCTCCTGGAAAAGGGACAAACATCAAAAAGGGGACTGGCTTGTAAATGTATAGTAACAACCAAATGCCAAAAAGATGGAGATTAAATTTTAAATCTGTTTGTTCTTCTGAAAACAATATGCCAAGCAGGAGTTAGAGTCTATATAGTGTTCTAGGTTTCAGAATCATCGCAGTCGTCCACATAGAAATGCAAGAACCTTTCCTCTGAAGTTATCATTCACTTCTTTGACTCTGAGGGTCACCTGATTCTAGCATTTGTTTTCTTTCTACTTAGACAATAATTAGTGCATCTCACATCCACACATGAGGAATGGCAGGGGGGCTGTTAAATTTTTCCCAGCCCATCCTTTCTACATTAGCTCCCTTTCCCTTGATTGAGCTTCTCTGTCCCGTCCTGTTTTGCTGACTGGTTCCCCTTCCTCTGCTCTATCAGCTAAGGGACTCACCGAAGCTAACAGGACAGTGGTCGCTTTGAGAATGCCCTGGGCTCTGGACTCCCCAGGAAAAGGGCCTTTGAGTAACCAGGTGGCAAGAAGAACATGAGGGCTGAATGGTGTCCGCTTGGGTTGGGGCCCCCTCCCTAAGAGACCCAGTGCCCCCAGAACCCACCTGTCTCCTCTTTACTCTGACTTCAGCAGGAAAAGGAAGTCCTAGGTTTGTGTACTAAAGAAAATGAGTTCTAGTTCCCTAGTGCACAGAGCCTCGGAACTGGCTGAAATAAATCTCGAGTTGTCATTTTCATGTGTTTTGAATTTCTTTAAAGCCCACCCCTGTATAACCGAAGAAACAACAGCTTGACTGCCTTCAAGGACGGAGTCTGTGCCTGAGCTGGGGCATTTCCTTTTATACTCTTAGCAAGTACATTTCAAAGAAACCTGTCCAGCGTCACACCCCAAGGTTCTCGAAAAAAAAATCTCTTTCATAAATCCAATCCTAACCTGTTGGCTTCCTTTCCATAACAACATCATGACCCCACCCTGCTTTTCTGAAAGTACAGTGGTTCCCAATGCATAATGTGTGGTAAAACCACTTTGGAAAACTGGCAGTTTCTTAACACGTTATTCACGTACTCACCATGTGATCCAGTCATCCTACTCCTAAGTATTCACCCAAGAAAGTTGTAAGCATATGTCCCCATAAAGACTAGTATGTGAATGTTCATTACAGCTTTACTCTGTGGTAGCCAAAAACTGCTAACAGCCTAAAAGCCTATCAAGTAGTAAATGGATAAGTAAACTTTGAAATATCCATCCAATGGAATAGGGAATGAATGACCGATTCACACAGCAACATGGACAAGTCTCCAAACAATTATGCCAAGAAGCCAGACCAGAGGGAGTTCATACTGTATGATTTCACTTGTATAAAACTCTAGATAATGCAAACTAATCTATTGTGATGGAAAGCAGAATCACTGATTTCCTGGCAATAAAGAGAGAGAAGGGGAGGTGGCTGGGCATGGTAGCTCACACCTATAATCCCAGCACTTTGGGAGGCCAAGGTGGGTAGATCACCTGAAGTTGGGAGTTCGAGACCAGTCTGGCCAACATGATGAAACCCCGTTTCTACAAAAATACAAAAAATTAGCCAGGTGTGGTGGTGTGCGCCTGTAGTCTCAGCTACTCAAGAGGCTGAGGCAGGAGGATCACTTGAACCTGGGAGGCAGAGGTTGCAGTGTGCCAAGATTGTACCACTGCACTCCAGTCTAGGCGACATAGCAAAGACTCCGTCTCAAAAAAAAAAAAAAAAGAGAGAGAGAGAAGTGGAGCGTGGGAGGGCAGGAGGGCAGGTGGATACAAAGAAAACCTCAGTGGGGGATAAATATGTTCACTGTCTGGGTTGTGTGAGAGCTTCACAGGGGTGTATGTATGTCAGAACGCACATTATGCATTGTAATATTTGCAGTTTATTGTAACTGGACCTCAATAAAGCTGTTCAAGTGAGACAGGGAAAGCAAAGTACGACGAAAACATTCTGGTTTTCTTCACTTCTCAGTGTCGTCTCTGGCTGCCAGCAGGCCCTAAGGAGGAAGGCAGCCAGAACTTCCTCCTGGTAACCTCTCTGCCAGTAGCTTTTCAAAAGTGCACTGGAGTGCCTTGTGCTGTTATAGCCACTATGGACCCACGTGGGTTTTTTTTTTTTTTTTTTTGGTTTGTTTTTGTAGGTTTTTTCCTTTTATTTTAGCTTCAGGGGTATATGTGCAGGTTTGTTATATAGGTAAATTGCACTTCATGGGGGCTTGGTGTTTAGGTTATTTTGCCACCCAGGTTAATAAGCATAGTACCTGATTGGTAGATAGTTTTCTGATCCTCACCCTCCTACTTCCCTCTATCGTCAAGGAGGTCCCAGTGTCTGTTGTTCCCTTTTTTGTGTCTATATGTACTTAACGTTTAACTCCCACTTATAAATGAGAACATGTGACATTTGGTTTTCTGTTCCTGTGTTAGTTCACTTAGGATAATGGCCTCCAGTTCTATCCACGTTAAAGGACGTGATCTTGTTCTTTTTTATGGCTGTGTAGCATTCCATGCTGTATATGTACCATATTTTCCTTCTCCAGTCTATCGTTGATGAACATTTAGGTTGATTCCATGTTTTTGCTATTGTGAATAGTGTTGTAATGAACATGCATGTTCATGTGTCTTTATACCCATGTGTTTTTAAGATTAAATTAGATAGATGATAGATAGATAGATACATAGATAGACGACAGACAGATAGATAGATAGATAGATAGATAGATAGATAGATAGATAATTTGTGTGTATATATATGTGTGTTTCACATACATATTTCCTGGCTCTGTCTGCTGAGAGGACCTAAAAGCAATGATACACAACATAGTGAGTGCCTAGTGCCCTGATCTTGGAGTCTAAACACCTTTCTCCACTAAAGCAGCCAGGACTCCTTGGAGACATGTAACTACATGTTGATGGTGTTGGATTTGAAAACCAGCTGGTTGGTCTTCAAACTCAATACCACCAACGTGGAAGCAAACCAGTGTCACATTTGTCCTAAACAGTCGAGAAGGGAAGACACAGCATCTTTATTCCTGGAAAAAATGTCGACCTAAATCAAAGAATGAGGAAGCATCAGAAAAACCCAAAATGAAGGACTTTCTGCAAAGTAACCGGCCAAATATCAAGGTCAAGTGACACAAAGAAAAACTGAGAAACCATCTTAGGTTGAAGGAGACTAAAGAGACAGGACAAGTAGATGCAATGCAAGAACCTGGATTTGGTCCTAGAGTGGGGAAAAATTAATTCTGAAGGACATTACTGGGAAATTAAAGGTCTTACAATAGGCACTGTGAATTTGATGATAGTGCTGGATCCGTGTTAAACTTCCTGATTTTGCTGACTGCGTTGTGGTTTTACAGGAGAATGCCCCTGTTCTTAGGAACTGTCCCCTGAAGTATTTAGGGGCAAAAGAGCACAGTGTCTTTGGCATATTCTCAAAGGATTCAAAACATATGCAAAAAATGCAAAAAATTAATGAAAACACATGTATATAGACAGAAGGAGAATAATAAAGCCAGTGGGACAAAATGAAAACAATGGTTTGGGTGAAGGGTTTATAAGCATTCTTTACACAATTCTTCACTTTTCAGTAAGCTTGAAATTAGATACAAGTAAGACTCACAATACATTTTTAAAAGAAGAGGAAAAAATATTTTGGCAATTGACCCTAAGACACAAGAAAGCCTGGAACAGGACTGTGTCTGAAATAAAAATGAGTAGCCCCAGCCTCCGGCCGTGACCTTACCCAGCCACCTGGGCATGCACCGAATTTCACTGCAGCCCTCTGGGGGCCAGGAAAACGCTGGCATTTATCTGAAAAAAGACCATGCTTTTCTTTTATGACTTTTTTTGTTACAAAAGTAACACATACGTTTGTAGGAAGTTTGGCAAATACACAAAAGCCGAGAGGAGAAAATTAAAATCACCCATAATCTTCCTACCCCAAAATAACGACTTTTAACTTTCTGTTGTTTTCCCTCCCAGCCGTGTTTCTATGAATTCGTACACTTTGAACTTTTATTTTCTTTTTCCCACCTAACAGATTACAAGCATTTCCTTCATCATTAAACATTCTTCAGACAAGTGAAGGCATCAGCTACATGGCATTCCGACAGGGGCTGTGCTCCAATTCATTTAAACATTTCCCTCTGTAGGGCAATTCACCTGCTTCTAACTTCTTTTTGTAGTTATTTTGAAATATTTCCCAGGTGAATGAAAGATGCATTTTCTTCAGAAAGGTTATATTCTGCCCCTTTCCTCCTAAGCCAAAGAACTAAGAACTTTCCCAGGCAGTATTTTTGAACTGTTCTGACATCTTCAGCTCTGTGAAGTGATTGCTTCCTGCGTGGCATGACTCCAGGTGCCATCAAGAAGCCCAGTGTGCCTCTGTTTTGAAATAAGGAACTCACCCAGCAAGCAGAAAAGCAGCCACTTTGGAGTTAAGAATTACTCTTCTTTTTTTTCCCCCCGATGAAAAATGCCCAGTTGAGTTGGGAAGACCTCAACTCAGCAAATTTAATTTTATTACAGCTTGGGGAACAGGGAGGTTGATTTTTGAGATATCAGTTAGAAAACACTTTATATATATTTCTAATACCCAGGGCTTATGTCACCTCCTTTTTGCTTGCATGAAAGGATTGAATATGAATCATGTAATATCTGAGAAAAATTCCCAAAGAAAGAAGCCACAAAGAGAAGAACGAATGGCTTTGGTTATAGTGAGTAATAGCAAGGTTCAGACTGGAAATAGCAATAGCTGGTAACGATGTTGGTAAGAGTTTGGAGAAAAGGCCTCCACACTGCTGTGAGGAGTATACATTTACGTGGTCTTTTTGGAGGGTTAAGCCATATCTGTCACAATTTACAAAGCACAACATCTCTGACACTGCAGCACGTCTGCTTGGAATTTGCCCTACTGGTATTCTCACAAAAGAACACAAGGGTCCAGGTGTGGGGATACGTGTGGGAGCAGAACAAAAATTGGA